GTTGTAACAAATAGGCTTGGTGGTGCATATCGACTAAGCATGTCTCATGTGTCCGAAAGCGAAGATATAGCGTTTCTACCAGCAACCCCGTCTAGGGTTTCCGAGCAAGGGAGTACACAGTCGATCAGGGCATGGACTGTTCCTAAACTTATTTTGGAACTTCGGAGGAGAGGCATTCCTTTTGCAGCCTCCGCAAGGAAGGCGGAACTATTTAAGTTACTGTTCCCCCCAGCAGCGGCTAGTGGCAGCTCAGAGCAGGTGTCGTTACAAACCGTAGTGACTTCTCTAGCTAATATTCACACCACACTTAATCTCCTCACCACGTCGTTTCACGACTTGCAACATAGGACAGAGAATCTAGAGAAGCAGGTTCCTGCAGTCCCTGCTACCACGACACCAGACGTGGCCAGCACCTCTGCGGTTCTTCCGGGGACTTCCAACGCGGCAGTGTCCGCCGCGGCAGGTACAGTGAAGATTGCCCCTAATATAACGCCAGCTCATTTTGTTCCGGCCAGTTTAAGAAAGGATATTTTAGAAGGGAAAGATGTCAACTTAGCATCCCTACTGATAGCGGCGCACGATGTTACGGATCATAAAGCTTTCTCATGCGGAGAGGTGTCCGTTGTGTTGAAAGCCAGGGACCCCAGGTTAAGCCGTAAACTGACTATACATGAATTCGTGTTAGCGTTTGGCGTTTTTAGAGACGTTGTGTGCTCTGTAAACCCTAATCGAAGGGAAGAGCTGGACGCGTATCTGCATATAGTGGTGGATCTTTCATATAAGTATGGAGGGTTTGCATACTATGATTATCACCGGGCGTTTTCAGCCAAAGCGGCTGCCGGTCTGGCGCAGTTCCAGTTCACCGCCGATTGGGGCAGGGTAGATACTGAACTATTCTGCAGACATTTTGCCGGTCTTAAAGCCCCGGTGTGCACCTCGTGCCAGTCTTCAGCCCACACAGTGGACTGGTGCCCTACGCCAGGGGGGACAGATACGACCTCAGCAAACAAACCAGCAGGGTTCTTGCCCAGCTCGACTGCCACAGGAGGCACATTCGATAAGCTAGGTAGGCCCATACAGTGCTTGGGGAAAGCACAGATTTGTAACAACTACAATTACAAATCTTGTAATTTTCCACAATGCAGGTTGTTGCATATCTGTTCTACATGTTTCAGAGCCCATCCGAAAGTCGCTTGCACGGCCAAGAACGTGCAATCGTCTTGACTAAGCCAGGTGGACGTGGGCGCGTTGGCCTGCTTGCTGAAAGATTTCCCTGATCCAAAATATAGAAGAAATAATTCTGCTTCTAATTAAAGCTATAAATGGAGTATATTTATTCTATAAAACGTGTATCTTGCATGTTCGTTTTTTTTATTCTATAGTGGACCCTGTATATCCCAGACTGACTCAAAGCAGAACAATTAGGAAAGCTATTTCAAACTGAAATTGGTTTATAACTGCGCTATGAATAGATTAAACCATTTCCCATGGGTTGCCAATAACTTATTTCAGTTGGTTATTAATGAAAATATGTCTGTAGGATGATCACATACTGTCCTATAGGACATCCAGAACTTAGGGCTTTGAGAGTGTATGGCTAAATAAAAAGGAATGTTTGCAATAACAGAGGAAGGTAAAGGAATTGCATGACACTCCATGCATTTGTTCAAATGTGGAGATAACTGGTGAATAGTACAGAATAGGCAAAAAAGGGTGTAGTGCACAGAAGATAATGCAACATATGTAAACTAAACATAAGTGCAGAGGCTGGTTAATTGTAATTCACCACAAATGATTAAAGAAATGTTCACAACAGTACCAGTGGTAAAGATGCTGTTTGTGTCACCAGAATATAGATTTTACAAAGTACAGTTCCACACCATATTTTCCCAATTGAATAACCTTGTAGTTCCCAGAGAGAACTGACTTGGATAGGATGGTTGAGGGCGATGGGATAAACCTAAACATGTTGCCTTGGGAAATTTAACCCAGGACCTAAGGGATACAGCAAAGCAATTCTATTTAGTGAACTATTTTGGCATATGTCAAAGTTCATCCCACGTTAATAATGCCTTCCAACTGGAAAAGGAACGCCAAACATGATTTTGGCTCCCAAGAGCACATGTTATGTTTTCACTGCAGAAAACATTTTATATTGCTATAATAGTGTTTCACTGCTATGTGCTCATATCAAATCGGTCATATACAGTATAGCATAACAAATAAACATAAGAAGCAGAACCTTTGGATAAAATGTATACTTTTATGATTTCCTAACTGCAATTTTTTTTTTTTTACAGTACTAATGGATTTTCAACATTCACAGAAGAGTCCAGTATGGCATTGCCTGCCTGTTTCTTCTTAACATTTGCACACCCAGAGCCAATATTGTTGCCTTTAATCCATAAGATCCAAAATATTACTGGTAAATAATTGTTGTGGTTTTTTTTTTGTAATCTGTTCTTTTTTCCCTTTTTTAAAACACAATAATTGCTGTGCTAGAATTTTGTAATACATTGATCCGTTTCCAAAATGTTATATTTTTTAAATAGGAAGTTCTGGTTTTCTCTATGGCATTGCAGTTCTCATCATGCTAGTTTTAGAAAAAGCTTGTCTTGTGGTTGTGGCATCCATTGAAATATATAAGGGAACCAAAATGTTTTTGCTTGCAGCCAAGCTTGCTTGGGGATGTGGATGTGACAACTGTGCCTAACAAAGACTTGAGGGATGGCAGTGGAGTATGCAGTCCTCAGAGCCCTGTGTGACATGAGTTTTGGGAAAGCGTGAGCAGTGGACTGGAGCAACAGTGGTTACTTGGTTGCTGTAGTAGTAACCAGTGAGCAAAGTGGCTAAACAGGGAATCCTTCTCAGGACTATAGTAGAGCGGTGTGCTGGAGGGGTATGCTAACTTGGTACTGCTAAAGCTGTCCAGTGCCGTTAGTGCTCACCATACATCTACCTTTATACTGGATGTCAGGTAGATAGTGTTACCCATATATGTACTGAATGTCAGGGTAGAGATAACAGCAGTGTAGTCCTGTTGTGTTTGGGAAAGTCAGGTGAAGCCTTGATTCCTTATATAGCGAATGTGGGCATCCAGGGCAGTGTATAGTTCATTTAAACTGGATTTTTAGGGTGGTGAAGGAGACTGCTAAGCATCTTTGCAAAACACTGATGGACACTGTGTACCATCAGAGCTAAGGTGGTGTAGTTTAGGTAGAAGATCAGTAAACTTGTCCTGAGAAAAATGTGGCAGCTGCCATTAATGATTCTAGCTACCAGCTTGTCATGCTAACCCATTGGGTTCAATATTTTCATTTGCAAAGCCCTAAAAAGTACCAGAAAAGTTGGTTCTTATTTGCACACTTGTTTTGGGTCAGTAACTCAAAGTTTTGTCAAGTAGTCAGCGAGCCAATTAGCATTTTCAAAAGATGTCGGCAATGGTAGCCTGCATAATTCTTTCATGATAGGACTACCTTTAACCCCTTCGCTGCCACCGATGTATGCCATACGTTGGTGGCAGCGGGCCCCTTTAAACAGACTAGCCACCGAGACTCATTTACATTTGTAAAGCCAGCTGCGGGCTTTACAATGGAAGCGATTCGGGCGGCTCAGCTGCCATCAGATTGCTTCCACGGGCCGGTAAATTCAACCCCCCCCCGACACCTTCGCCTTTTTTCCTGGGCTCCCTTGCCCCTCCTGTGGGCCTGGGACCAGCATGTCGGGTGCTGGTGGTAAGCTAAGGAGGAAAGCGGTGAACTTCCATTCGCTGATCTCCTCTTTGCTCTATGTGACCGGGAGCGACTAGGATCACATCACTTCCTGTCTCTGAGCTGTCATTGCTTATCTACTGAAGCAGAGAAATAAGCTATTGGAGTGCAATATGGACTCCAATAGCTTATTTAGAGTGGAAAGGTGACATTCGGGGTCTTTTGGAACCCTGGTGTCACTTTAAAGAGGACCTGCCACTGCTAATATGCTATCACATAGGGGGATTATAAGCCCCCTATGTGATAGCATTTAAAGGTAAAATAAATTGGTTTAAAAAAATATTAAATGTAAAAATAAATTTATTAAAGTCCTCCACCTCGTTTCACGGACACACCCATTAAGTGTTACGCTGATATCATGCAACATAAAAATTTGCGCCACCATTTTATTCTTCAGGGTATTGGCGTTCAGAAAATGGATAATATTCAGGGGGTTTGAAGTAATTTTCATGCCTAAAATTTGGATTATAACGTGTGCAAAAAAAGGCCTTGGCAGCGAACAGTTAAAGGGGTCAACTATTTTGCACACACACACACACTCCCAAACTACCTGCTGAATTATTTAAAATAAAATCTAAATGCCCCATTTACTTGCCTCAATCCATAGTCCTGTGACGGGCCGGGTCCTGAGTCGTCCTCTTCACTGCAGAGCAGGAGGGTCCCTCCTTTGGGTGTTCACGTTACTGCCTGGGTGACAGACACTTTGGCTGTCCAATGGCGGGACCCTCTAAAGACTGCATTGACATGATGTCCTCCTGAAGAGGTTACCAGTCAGTGCGGGCACAGACTGCAACATTGGATCCACCCCTTTTCACTCTGGAAGTGGACTGAAGGACACGGATGGTAAAGCTGGCCATACACCTATAGAAAATCTGTGGTTCAACAGATTCCTCCATCTACGCTAAACAGTGTGGATGGAGGAATCTCCCGCTGGGCCAAGCTTCAGCATCTTGCTAGTCGGCCCCGCTGGCTGACAAAATACCTGAACAATCTGATTGGATGCAGGCAAGATACTAAAGCTTGGCCCAGTGGGAGATTCCTCTTTTCACACAGTTTAGCGTAGACGGAGGAATCTGTTACTTTTTCCATCTGACCATAGCAAATCTACAGATAATCTATAGGTGTATGGCCAGATTAAGTATACCAAAGACTTCAGAAGTTTTTTGTTTTTTTCTAACTGGTGAATGAATGGGAGGGAGGAGCTTTACCCATAGATTGACTTTAAAGAACACCTGTTATGAAAGATACATGGAACTGTTGACTACTGAAAATGTTAGTTGATGAGCTGTGTCTGGAATCAATACTGTGATTAACAAACCTTGGGCAAAAAGTTGGAGCTCCTTATTAAATCTATATTTGTTTTTGGGTAAGTAGCTCTAGTAAGTACTAAAACCAAAGTATCAGCATAAAAGCCAAGAAACTAACCATTCCAGTTGATGAATGGCAGCCCATATATTTCTCTCATGACAGATGTACTTTAGGGTAGGTGATGGGAATTGTGTTCCCTTCACTAAGAAATGTTCAAAGAAAAGGAGAAAGCATCAAATCCGATTAGTACTTTTTGCTTTAACATTATACTAGGTTTGAAAAGTTCCATATATTAAAACCTCTTGAGGTTTGAGAGGTCCTATCTCTGTATAGGAGGGCTTTCTAAATGGTGTGTGTATGTATAGGTGTGTGGGAGATATACTGTAGATCGAGATATATTTTACTTGTTTTCTTTATTGTAGGCATTCCAGTCTTTGCAACAGGGCAAGCACACTTGCATGAATTGCTTATTGACATAAAAGTTAAAGAGCCAGCAGTCCATAGAGAAATCCAGTTTATTGTGGTATGTATGGTTTTTTTTTTTTGGTCTGTGGCTAAAACACCCAATAATAAAACACAAGCCTCCAAAACAACAGAGGAGGATGAGGGGTGGGGGTAGCATTGTGAAAATATAACACCTTTGCGAGGTTGTCAGTCTGTGTACTCACTGTGGAGATTTTCTCTCAATCATGTGATGGAGCAAGGTGTCAGAAGATGAAGTAAGTGGTTGCTAGTGCCAGAACAGGTAATGGGTTGAAATCTTAACCGAGATACAAACCATAAAAATCTGAAAATGTTCTAACACATATAGGTAAGGTCTTGCAGACAAACATGGTTATACTGTATATTTCCATGTTTGCACTTCAACAGACAGACATGTTTGAAAAGGGCCAAGATTAAGCTTGCTGGGTAATCACCAGAGCTTTCTAAAAACTCTGGGATTTAATAAATTGCAAAACTGTCAGATCAGCTGAATTGTCACCAGATATAAAGTCACTTTTTATTCCAGGAATGTGTTTATCACACCAAATTTGTCTTGAAAATGTTTTGAGCCAATTGGGGACTAGCCCAGTGTTTGCCTGTTGGAAAGCTTTATCTGTAATATATGTTTTCCTCTCTACTATGCTGTATTCCTGTATACATACATGTAAGGTCCTGCTGGTTAAATAAAACTTAAGCATTTCTCAAGATCTCAGTGCTTCATCTAAACACATAACCAACATTGCCATCCTACACTGAACATGCCTATAGTAGGGGAGAGCGGAGGAATGACCTAATCTATGTGTTGGTGTTCCTATATTGTCCAGGGAACGGCTAAAAGGCTAAGATGGGTCATGGACCAGGCTGCATTGTGTACCTGCACAGAGGTCCAAGATTTGGCTGTTCTGTTTGGCAGAACTGTCTGTATCAGAAGACTGGCTGAAAAGAATTACGGATTCTTTTGGCAGGCAACTCTCTTGCCTTGCATAGAGTTTGATGGCTTTCCTTGTGTTACTGTTAACTTGCAGGAATAGATTATCCTTTTTTGGCAAACTTGGTATATAAAAAAATTTCAAACAAATATAAACCACTAACACAAGGACATTCAATTATGTTGCCAGTCAGGAAACAAGCCATAAGAGTACAAGTAAGTTGGTAATGAGTAACACAAGCAAATGTAAAGTAGACCCATAATGCACTTAACCACCTCCGGGCCGGCCGTAGTAAAAAAACGGCCGGCTGGAGCTCTCTAGATCTGAGCGGGCGTCTTTAGACGTCCGCTCAGACACGCCCCCTCGCACGCGCCACTGGGCGCGCGCGAGCGGGAAATGATCGCAATTTAAAAACAGACAGTGGTGCCTGTTAACATACAAGCGATCCGCCGGCTGTAGAGCTGGCGGATCGCTTGTATTTTGCAACGATCGGTGCGGGCCCCCCCCTCCGCTACTGAAAACAACATGGATCTGGTTATAAAACAGCACAGTACCATAACTGAACCAGCACTTGACCTGACAGCAGAACGAATGAAGGAAAACCTATAGAAACCGTAGAAGAAAAGAAAAAGATGAATGTGCGGTGAAGGCAGAGATGAGGAAAATCGGGGAGGAAAGCAGAAAGAGATTAAAAGGGGGGGGGGGGAAGAAAAAATAAGGAAGGCGTGGAGAAGAGTAGAAAAGAAAGATAAGCTTAAGAAGTAGTATTGCAGCAAGGAGGGGGAGACAACTTAATAGATGGCTGTGTTGAGGATGGGGTGGTGTCAGCTCTGTACACTTCAGACTGCCCTGAAGGTAGCTTATATTGGTAAATACCAGTGATTGTGAAAGTTTTTCTATGCTGCCCACATACGTTCTTCCTCTAGTCCTGTTTTGTTGTATTTTTTTTTTGTCACTGCCCACAAACCTCCAAAGTTGATTAGATGACTATGGCCATTTTAAGTCATTATTTTGATGTAAGTAAATGTGAATGAGCTTCTTTTCTTCTTAGTCTATTCCAGGTTGTATGGACCAATGTTATATAATGAGCAGTAGCTGTGAAAATGAAAGTAATGTGATGGGTGCACTTGTAAACAAAATACCTTTCACAGACCCAAGTCATGTACCATCTGTCCTGGAAATTTTACGATATCAAGCAGCTTACAGTACTTTGCTCAACAGCTGTTTATCTCCTACAATAAACCCTAAAGGTAAGTATTATCAACTGCTCTTTTAAAACTTATATCCACAAAAAGACTAACAGTACATCAGTCATGAAAGAAATATAGGGGCTGTTTGCACATGATAGCTGCCTGACCGTGTCTGACTTTAATGCTCCTTAGTCTTACACCTAGAATGAGTGTCCAAGAAAAGTCCTAAATTCTATGCTTGTTCTAAGTCAGGGACTAAAGGTATTAAAGACAAAGCATTTGCCTAACAAAGAGATTGTTTGTTTGCTTTTTCAGAAGGAAAGACCTAAAGAGACAAACCTTTCCTAATCTGACCCCAAATGTACAGGCAGACATTCTCCCAAAAGAAAACCAAAGAGAGAAATATGGTTAGATTGTGCTGATTTTAGGCTGTTTTTGCTGATCATCCTATGCAAATGATACTTGCTTGGCTGTCTCTGGTTCTAAAACTAAGTCATTGACTGAGAACAAGTTTTCAGAACAGATCACCTACAGCATATGCACAAGATTTGGGTTGATGTCATTGATGGGCCATCAGCAAAATCAAGAAGAAGCTGGCCAGCGGTGATGTCTACTTATACAAAATGGTGACCTTAAGAATAAAGGAGGAGGAAAAAGAAGCATTAGCATGTGGACACATATAGAACAAGGACACACGTTTTATATTTCTTTATTTTCATATGTACAGTACATAGAGTAGGCAGACAGTTTACAATATGGGTTGGGGGAAGGCCCTCTCTAAGTATAGTATTTTGTGTAATATGTGTTCAGACCTGCAGGCATTGTGGAGAGTCCACCATGAGCATCATTGGAGATGATGCAGAGTTAGCTGAGCCGCTGGTTAGGGGCTGCAATTTTAAACACTAACTTATGAGTCTCTTTTTTTTCTGTAGATCACAATGGCATGCTTCACTTTGAAGTCTCCCTGCAAAAAGACTTAAAAATTTGCATTTCATTTCAGAATCCCAGCGGTGGAAGTCTTTCCTGCGGTATGTGTTTATGTATCTATGAAAGACCATAAAACATTTTTTTAATGTCTCCTATCGCTTAAAATGTCACTGTACATCTTGTCATGTTTTAAAGTAAACCTATGTGTATTTGTTATGTGCAGTTGTTGTTGAAGTCTTGAGCCCAAGGAAATTATTGTGCACCCTGTACACCAGCTCCTGTGATCCTCCCTTACTCTGCAACAGTGAATTTATTGGGAAGATTCTGGAATGGTAAATTTGAATCTGGAATGTTTTTTGTATGACCAAACAAATGGAAAAAAAGATGTTGCTGAACTCCAATAAGGCAGTGGGACCCCTGCTTGTTTTTTTGCCTAAGGGTAGAGGAATGTGGTGTAATGTTTGCCTTATTCCTGCTCTGGAAGGTTCTGGCACTCTCCTCTTCTTCTTGATGCTTCAGGTCTTGGGCACGTCTTCTACATCCTTGTGTACAATTCAGGGCTATTGGCCCTGAATTGTACTTAATGAAGTCAGCTGTGACCGCCGGTCAAGAGCGCCTTCAAAAAAGAGGTTTTGGGAGCAGGTCGTACAGATGGAGGGAGCCTGCCAGAACAAGGAATAGGGTAAGTATTACACCTTATTCCTCTACCCGTAGGCATAAACGAGTGGGGATCTCACTGCAAGGGAAGCTTCTTTATAAATGCGTGGAGTTCAGCTTTAATGTTTTAGACTGTTACTGAAAAATTTGCTTTATTCATACTTGAAAGTTCAGTTCCTGTGACGTGAGCCATCAGGAACTAAACTGAGCTTACACTATTACAAATGAAACTAATTCTGTTTGGAAAGTAGGTATTGGAATTGAATGGAGAAAAATTATTTGGGATGTATAAGGAACTTTGGTTTAAAGTATGTAAAGGCTGACTCAATTTCAAATGTGTGTAAATTCCAAATCTATTTTTCCAGTGTGTTTTGCCATTACGCCTCACCATATACCATTTGCAATAGGTTCATAAAAACAATTTGCTTAAGAAAAGGTTTCTTCTCAGGAAAACCTGCCAGTAATAGCACTTCCTACTTGATTTGCTTAAAAGTGTGTACAGTGTGGCCAAACACACAGAGTAATAGATTTTGGGTTTTTGTACATTTTAAGCTGAACTCTTTATCTAAACTCAAAAATTAATCAAAAGCAGGAAAAACGCTGATCAGGGCGGTGTACAGCCACTAACAGCTGTGTTATTGAGCCTTCAAAAGGTTAAGCTATGCTATTAACCTTAATTCCTTGTTTCAACTTTAATTTTTTAGTTGTATGTCAATTCCCATTACTATGAGAACCATCTTCAAGAAGGCGCACAAAGAGGAAGTTGCTGAAACAATGGAAACGTCATGTGCAAAAGGTGATGGTTTATCTTCCCAAAATTCAGATGAAATCCATTCCGACATTTTCAGTAAACGATTGTGCAACAAAGAAGAAGAAGAAGAAAAACCATCCACTCATGGCAAAAGTGTTCTACTTGGCTCCGTCTGTGATCCCATTGAGGAGCTCTTCCCTGAAACCAATGGTGGAATTATTTCTGTTGATTCACATGGGTCTAGTCCTGCTCAGGAAACAAATTCTACCTTTACTGAAGATACCTATTATAACATTCCACAAGTCAATTCTAGTAGTGTAGAACAGCCAAATTCTAGCCTTGCTGAAGAGTCCTGTTCAAGTCTCACAGAGGATCCGAATGCTATGATTGTACAGCAGCTCAGCCCTATCATGGCAGACGTTCCTAGTCCTAATATAACTGAGGATCCAAGCTCCAGTATTACAGGAGAGCTAAGTTCAAGCATCACAGAAGAACTCGGCATGAGCGTGTCAGGCTTTGCTATGCCTCGATCCGTTCCTGAACAGGAAAATGATGAAAGCTACTGAAAACAAAGTCTGTTTTTTGATCTGTTCATTTAAATATTATAAATACTATAATGCATAACAAATCTATGTTGCGTAATTTAATGGTAGCCAAATATCAGCCCTTTACAACCAACCAAGAAACCTGTTAAATGGGTGGATGATTTTCAGTCTGTCCTACCAGCCCTTGATCTTCGGTAGTTAAGTGTAAGCTGTTGGTGATCGCTCGGTACAGATCTAGGGACGCCCAATGAGCTCAGAACAATGGAGCAACTCTTTTATGAGGCAGCTGGGCATTAAGGCTGACCCACTGTGCTGCCACATATGTCTTAAAGGGATTAATCAGCTCACCAGAACAGTGGCCATTGATGTGGTGATGGAATTGCGTCCTGCAGATGATTCATTGAGGCCGATTTACTAAAGAAGCTCACCCAAATTGTGTGATGATTCACTTCAATTATCCAATTATGTGAAAAGCAATAATTGGATAATTGTTTAGTTCATCTGGATGTGAGTTACTCTGCAGCAAAGCTGTGTGTGTGTGTGTCTTTGTAGGATGTCTAAACCCAATAACAATTATTTAATGTAGCAGCTTACCAGTCCATAGATGTGGCAACTGTTTTACTTGGTGACCCTGCCAGTAACAAACTTCCTGTCCTAAAGTGACAACGCCCTTACCATACTGTATCTAGCATTGTCACCCTAGGCTACTCTCCTGATTTGGACTACAAATACCTCCTCTCCCCCATTATGTGAAGGGAGGGGTTTTGTACTTCACAGAATATTTCTAGGAAAAGCTGATAACCTTGTTTATTTCCGTTTAGTACACAGGAAGGTACAATGACTCAAACTTTCTGGCAAGATCCACAGGTAATTTTCTGCAGTGTCAGATAATGTACTGAGCCTGAAATAAGAAAACAAATGCAGCCACAAGATCTAAGGAATTGTAGGCTACAAGAAATTACATTTTTGTTCTTGAGTTCATTTATGATTTTTAGGTCTAGCCTGTGACGACCGCACAGGGAAGGGGTCTTTAGCTAGATACAGCAGAACAACATTCATCCCTTGATGTTTCCTAGTCATGTTCAGTGCTGTCAAAACAGCATTCACAAAAAAGTTCTGTTTTCATGATTACACTTATTATTCTGTTTCCTCATAAAATGTAGAAAACGGAAACCATCAATGCTGCATTGTTACTTGAATCAATACTCAGATTTCAGTTATGGGTGCAGGGATTTGGTTTTGTGAAACAAAGAGAAAGCACAAGTTCACCTATGTTGTGGTACCAAACGGTTCAATGCAGACCTTTCTAGGTGACTATGCTGTGTGCTCTGGGCATGCACTATTCTACAATATTTCACTTAGCTTTGTTTTACTGTTCAAGTGGAAAACGTCCAACCTGTTTACTTAGGGTAAGCTTAAAACAAAAATTCCATGCATTTTATTTTGGATTTGTAGATTTAAGCCCAACTGAACCCTCTCCATGTATTCTTGTAATGCAGCCAGGGTTCATATCCAATAACAAATATGTTTGTATTTTAGGGGAGGGGGTCCATACTTTGTACTGTTACAAGCATTAAAATACCCTTTGCTGCAGCACTTTGAAGAGTCGGACCACTGCTGTCACAAACGATGCAATCCATGGGTCCAACATGTCCCCCTGCACACTAAAGCTACCCGTGCTTACATTCCCAGAGCATTGTTCATTGGAGCACTGTGAAGGGGGGTGAGCTGGACTGCTGGAGACCCCAGGCACCACATAAGTGTGACAGCAGTTCGACTCTCCAGAGTGCTGCAGCAAAGTATTTTAAGTATGGAAAAGGAAAAAAAAAACTACAAAACCACAAGCATATTTATTACTGAATGTACAATCTAACTGCATTACAGTTAAAAAATATAGCGTATTAAATGGTGTTTTAAGGAAAATACATAATGTAGCCTTCATGTAGTCCTAAGCTTTTCCTTTACTGAAATGGCCAATTGCATGTTCCTGTTCAGTACATTGAAAAGTAAATCATGACGTCACAGTTGACCCTGATACAAAATACATGCTGCATCTGAAAGAAGACCTTGCACTATAAAGCAAGGTCTTCTCATTTAAGGATAGTCACCACCCCATGACAAAAAGCTGCATGAAAGTGTAAAACAAAGAAATGTGGAAATAGTTACTGAGTGCAGAACCCAGTGAGGGCAATGTCATCTATCCAGCAAGTTCCTGGTATATAGATCCTAAATCTTGTAAGAAGGCCCTCCTGCATCTGTGTCAAGGTTCTACCCTAGATTGAGACAGTACAGAAGGGGAAAAGCAAGTGAATGTGTGTAAAATGATATATGTATATATATAATTTTTGGGGGGCTAACAGGACCACTGTGTGACCATATACCTATGTGGTGGTAGGTAAACTTTGGAGACCTCAGAGCTCAATGATGACCCCTATCTGCTGCAGATGGAGATCAGAGACACAGAAGCTTGATCTCCTTCCCCAGCAGAAGTCCCTCACTGACCTTGTATTTGGAGGTTCTCAGAACTGTGCTGCAGGATCTTTAACAGCTGAAAGATGATATTGCCAACCCGGGTATAAAAGGAGGAGATGAGCCAAGACCCAGCATCAACCTTTTAATCACTAGGTGTATTCCATACATAATTGGCCAGCCAAGAAAGGAGCATCCATGTTTAGAATACATCCTTGCCAGTCAAGGGGTTAAAAATTAAATTTCAAGCTCCAGCCAATAGGATCTTTAAAATTGCCACCAAAAAATAGGTATTACTTCCTTACAATATTTAGACTAGGGGTGTTTTGTCCCCAGTAATTGTAGAGGAATCTTATTTCCTGCTTGTGTGACTGGATTACTTTTTGTCCTGAAACATGTGGACAGGGCTGAAAATCAAATTACAGGCTTCCCCCGCAATGTTTCATTTTTATTCAGGAAACCTTCAGCTCCCATTCCCAGAAAATGTTGGGCTCATCTGATCAGAGAGTTTCAGAACGTCCTAGTACTGTAGTGTTAAAGTATGACTACCCCAAGGTATAAGGTGCAGGAGCAAGTGGGCAAAATTCCAACAGTGCCACAAAGTGAGTTTCCAAATCGTCAGGCATTTAAGCAAGGTAAGGGCACTGAAAGCTGCTGCAAGTATGTGCAGGTACCCACACTCTGTATTTGTCAGCTGTTTTTTTTTTTACCTTGTTAAAGCTGAACTCTGGGATAAGCAAATATTGTCTCAATAAAAGAGGTATGTGTAGTCTTACTTGAATCTTTGTTCCAGATCAGTGCAGTAATCAAGCAAACCTTCCTGTAATAAAAAGACCAGTCACTGCTACTTTCTCCCTTTGTGCAGGGTCACTGGCCTTGGGTCCACCCCCTCCTGCACATAGCCCTGTAGAGCAGTGGTTCTCAACCTGTGTAACCTCAGGACCCACATTTGTCCTTGGTCATTAAGTTGCGACACAAGTCACAGTGCATTGGAAGGCATGGCATTAGGTTACCGTGCGTTCTGGTGCGGGCGTATGAACTGTGGGTGGGAAGTGCGTTTGGGGTACCATTCAAATGAATTGCAAGGCAACAAACCTCCAACACCAGAATGCACGGTAGGTGTGATTGCGTGGTACTATGCACTGTACGAATGTCAAAAACCCTGACACACACACACACTCCAAAAAATGAAACCTTTGTTTCAAAACTTTGTTTTTTTTTAAAAGGTCCACCTAGTCTCTCAACCTTACAAGAACTAGGGCTGCTGTGCTGTGACATAGTTCCAACCATATGTGCATTGCTTGTACAGCTCCCTTACGCGTCCTGTAGATGTGCCAGGAGCCAGATGTCACTCCGGTCCAGGCACCTCTATAGGACACGTAAGGGAGCAGTAAGCAATGCACATATGGATGGAGCTCCCTCGCGGCTATAGCCCCATCCCACCTCAAGCGGACATTCGGCGCTGGGCAGCATATTTTGAATAGCTGCTTGCTGCAAGAACTGACAGTGCTGCGCTAGGGGGAGGCAGAGGTGCCTCTCACCTAGAAAAGTGAAAGGCATGCAGCGACCCACTGAACACGGGGTCATGACCCACCAGTTGAGAACCAGGGCTGTAGAGGATAGACCTGCTGTGCCCCTCCCACAGCTCTGATCTCTGTACAAGCTATGTGCAGCTCAGGGATGATCTCATCACTACATGCACAAGGTAATAACTGGGTTTGGTAATGCATTTGTTGCACACAAAGTGGATTTGTATGCCTGTGGCTACTGAGAGATATTATCAGCTGCAGCAAGTATTTCCCACTGCTCGCTATGTAGAATACCTACTCCATGCTGTGGTTCCTCCACCAGCTCAGACATCACTAACGAACAAGATGAAGGGAGAGTCCACAGCATGCAGCGGGGGTAACAGTTATTCGACCCACAAGAAGTGCTTAATACCTGCTTAGGACAAGAAGGATTGAAATGGCAGCAAGAGAAGTATAGAACATGGGTAAGCAAAATTCGGCCCTCCATTTACCTCTGGGAGTCATGCTTGCGGGTGTCAGAGTCTTGCAATGCCCCATGGGTTAATAGTTGCACCACAGCTTGAGGGTCAGAGTTTGCCTACCCCTGGTATAGAACCCATTCTTTAACACTATTCTTTGAGTACAAGTGACCCTTTAATGATGAGATCCATTTAAGCACGAGTGACTTTCATGCAGCTACCCCAGTACCAGTAAACCTTATTTCACATACCTGTAGCTTGCATGCTGATCACCCAGAGAGACAGTCTGTCATATTTTTACCCAGAATACAGTCACAGCCAAGAACCCTTGTTCCCTTAGGGACATCATGGGGGGAATTCTATTCTCCCCAGGAGAGGAATATACTCTAGAATATTGTTCAGTCAGGACACAACTAACTCTCAAGTCTTTAATCAATATCATAAAGTAGTGGTTTTTATAAATATAAAAATATGTTCCACAACCATACTTTAGTAGAAAGAATACAAAATATCCAACCTATCATAGCACCAGACGTTCCTCTGGCTATGATGTATAGGAAATAATTCTCTAATATAATCTTCAGATCAATGAATGCTTCAGTTCCAGAGTTTGCAAATAACAAAGCAGATCTGAAGACACATTCAGCTGTTGCGCTATGGAATGAGTGTCTTTCAAAATTCGACCAAGTTCATGTTTCATAATGTTGTTCATCTCCTGTGTAGTCCTACAGTTTAGAAAGGAAGAAGAGAGAGACTCCTGCTTGCGGCAACAGTCCTGGCCTGCAGCGCATGAGTCATTACTGGGCTCATGTGTATGGCTGCCGAGTCCCATGTCATCCATACAGCTTGATAACTCAGGAGGATGAACATCCTGGTGGACAGAAGACAGGCCCTTCACAAGTTGGTCCTCACAGTGGCAGATGGCAGTCAGGAGCTCACCAAGCTGTGTATTCGGCGTGGGATCCGATTTGTGAACTTGACACCATGTGACAAGAGCACTGAAAAGCAGAAATAAATATTACTATACAGAACTTCATACAGTGATCACTACACAAGGTAATTTATCAGTCTGTGAGCTGAACTGTCATTGTGCCGTGCCAAAGCAACCATGCAAATACTATTTGCCAGCATGAGAGAGAAAGGCTGCCATTATGTAAAAAAAAAAAAAAAAAAACACCAGCTGATCCACCCTGACACTTATCAATGAGGTCCAGTTTATTTTGCCACATTCAGAAATGAATACAAAGAAAAAAAAAGACCACTATTATGCATTTCGATTTAGGATTCTTATCAAATTAATTTCCAAAGTATTTATTGCCTATTGGGACAAGTCTTGGCGATAGTATAATAATATGATTTACTTCTATACAGGCAATGAATCTGCAGTACTGAATTTAAATCTCAGTAGTCTGTTCTCTGACTCATGTTCATTCAAAGTTAACCCTCTAAGCTAGCTATACATGCATGTGGGCTGAACAAGAGAAACCTAATAGGTTCCTCCAACCATGTTAGACAGCATAGATGAAGGAATCTCCACTTGTCGCCTCTTGTGTTCAAACAGCCAGCACCTGCAGATGAATACTGGAATGATGACTGCATCTGATTGGCTGCAGTCACTATTTGACTGACATTTTTGCCACCCAATCTCTTAAAATGTTCAACTGAAGTTTGTCGAGCTGGGTGGTGCCTGCAGGGCCACCCATGGCTGGAATTTTGACCAATTCAGCTGTTCCCCTCATGTCCTGACCTTCTCATTTGTGTGATCAGCTTCTGTAGATCCTAGTTCTAAAAAATGCAACGTAGATCAATGTCCTCTTATTATGGGACACTGTACCTGTAAAGTAAATCTACAGACTGCAGTCAGGAAGGGGTTAATGCACAACTGGTTTTATAATCTGCTTACTATATAAATTCATATATTACTGTTATCTGACCCTTCAAAGCCCAAATTGACTTTTAGTTTAAAGTGACATTAATTATTTTTCTTATTATTATGATGAGGGTCAGACTTGATTGTAATGTCTTTTGTTTTTTTCTTTAAACGTTTGTTTCCTTGTTCTCTAGTTGTTCCCAAACTTCCTGTGTTCGGGTGTTTCCATCAGCTGGCTGGCTGCTGAGGAGCATGGGCATCCATGCACCTAATTGTGTGCGTCCATAGACACACACATAGCTTCTGGCAAGCCATGCCCGCCATTCTCAGTCACACTTTGAAGGATGGCAGAAGGAGCTTATGGCTCCTCTGCCCTCAATACTCTCCTCCAGGACCAGGAAGTTCGGGGAAAGAAAGAATCTTCCTGATCCCGGCGGAGGAGACGACTGACCACAGGTAAGTGTGGGGGGGGGGGTAGGGGGTGAAAAAAATGTACTGGGCTTTGTTTACCTTAATGCAGTAAGGTAAAAGAAAACGCTCAGCCTTTAATATTTTAAATCTACTACATACATTCCAGGTACATCCAAACAAAAGGTTTGCAAAGTCTTACAGTTGTTTTTTTAGAAAGCAGCCATACTCTAATTAGAAAAGCCGGTTCATGCCAGCCTGCTGTAGGTAAGGACACTATGGAAGCAAAGGTCTCACTGCAGAGCTCTGACACACCCCTGCTGAGTCAGAGCCAGAACTCCCCAATCAGCTGGAAGCATTAGCTTTGCTGTGATTGCAGCACTATAGGTCTGACTCAGCAAGAAAGTGATGGACCTCTGCAGAGACCACTGCTTTCACATAGAATTTTCTGAAGCAAGCTGACAGGGTACAGACTACTCTAACTTTGGATGCTTTCTAAATAAAACAAACTAAGAATTGAATGTACCATAATGGATTAGCTTATTTAAACTGAAAGTTCAGTTGGGCTTTAAAGACCATCCAGCATGGAGGGATGGTTTCATGTTCAAACTAACACTTTGCCAGCAAGGTTCATGGAAAGAAAATATTTGTGGCAATACATAAGGCTGAGCTTTGACTCTCATATGCCGCTTCACTGTTTAGACTTTTCAAGCTGAATCACAATAAAGAAACCTTCTAAGGAACTCAAGTTCTGATCTTGGAGGTGTTTAACTATCAGGACAGCATCAATATAGGGCTGCAACAACTAATCGACATAATCGATTATAATCGATTATTGAAAAAGTTGTCAACTTTTTCAATAAAAATACCTCAGGTCAACCATACTAGGTAAGTGAAGGTATTCCGTTTGTGATGCCACTAGAAGCGCTATAGAAATGCCTCCCTTCTGATCATGTGTAAGCAAATATATAAATATTTGGAGTGGACAAATAAATATAGAATTCAGGAGTCGGTTTGTCCAATCCAGAAGCCAGCAGGTTTTTTTTTTAGGAGTCAGCTCCATTGACAACTGGAGAAAACCTCTAAAGATAGGTGCCTGCTGTACTTTACTTTAAGAAGCATTGGGTACCTGGCTCCTGGGATTTGTCCAACCCTGACATAAACCCACTTTATAAAACCAAATGACAGCAAGCATACAGTATGTTGGCTTATAATACAAAATCATAAACAAAATTTCTGAGTATCCCTTTATAAATGTCCCCAAGCACACCAACAATAAAACAAATATTCAGATACCTTATAGTCCCTCGAAGTTCTCCACAGGGCATTAGCATATGGACTCCCAACTTATATCCCTGGTTAAATCCTGACTGCAATGCATTTTCCTTTCCAGCATCAATCCCATCTACATACCCTTCCTGAAATAAAAGAAATGGAGAACATTCGATCATAACTGGCACCATACAACAGAAGTGAGTCCTATGATCTTGTGCCTCTAAATAACAATTATGAAAGTGTAATTTATGCAGAATTTCCTTTCCACTGTATGTGACTTGCTGGGATAATCTTCCCTCTCGGCTACATATTAGTTTATTGCATGGGTTAAGCAGAACTTTAGTTGTGCAAAATAAAAGGGGAATAATAATGATGATGATGATGATGAACAATAAGCACACTTGGGATTGACAAGTCACAATCCTGATTGATAAATTGATAATTTATTTGATGCACTTTTTTAGTTATAAATTGTATGCATTTTATTAAGTTAGCTATAGATTACATACACTGTATCTGAAAGTGAGGTCTATATTGTAGGCACTTTGTTACAGGGTTGTGTTTAAAAAGCGCGGCACTAGATGAATGAGTTAGAAGTATAACAGACACATGAGCCCATGTTCTCCTTACCTTCAGTCTCTTCTCCATGGATCTCTGCCATTCTCTGTGCAGAAGGTTCATCTCATCTCCCTCCTCATCAAACACCTCCTCTTCCCTGTCCTCATGCCGCTCCACAGCCGCCCTCACCCAGGACATGTCCAGCCTGATCCCTTTCCACATTAAAACATGTATAGTCGGTGATGTGTCGAAAGTGCGAACTTATCGAGTTGTGGGACCGCATTACTTCCGGTTTCCTCAGAACTACGAGGTTTTTACACAAAACATGTTGTGCACGAGCGCCATCCACGGCATTGCCCTATAGACATAGACCACAGCAATAAAGTAATAAAATGATGTAGGATGACAGTAAGCCAGCACGTTCTTTATCTCCGGTGCCCCACTCAATATGGCCGCCGCTTGAGTGGGGCACCTGAGATAAAGAACGCGCTGGCTTACTGTCATCCTACATCATTTTATTACTTTATTGCTGTGGTCTATGTCTATAGGGCAATGCCGTGGATGGCGCTCGTGCACAACATGTTTTGTGTAAAAACCTCGTAGTTCTGAGGAAACCGGAAGTAATGCGGTCCCACAACTCGATAAGTTCGTAGTTTTGATCGATCACCGGCTGTCAGATACGTCCAATGGCAGCGCCTCGGGTGACGTACAACTAACGCAAGAACACTATAAGCCCCCACCCTTCTCCGACGCCCCCGGAAGTGACGCGAGGGTCCAGCTTTGTCACGGGTCCAGGATTCTATTAGAACAGCGGTGTTCCGTATGACTTAGGTCACGTGACAATAAACCACCGCCCGGAGCCCTCTGAACCCATAGTGAGAGAGACGGCGCATACTATTACACTACCGCGGAGCTCTCCTTCATTGTAATGTGACCAGTACACGGACACTTGGGTGCCACCTAGTGCTTGTTTGGAGGAATGACAGCTGGGAGCAAAAGAGATCCTTTACATGAGGGAATATTACACTGACTTTTCCATTGGAATGGAATGATCACTTTTAATTGTCCATTGTGAGAGTCACCATACATGTTAAAATATGACTGTACAATCTTTGTACGATTGCCAAAAATATGTTATATGAGGACCTACCTAATTTATACAATCAATTTGTATCCAGGCAGGCACTTACACTTCATGGTTGTTGGTAGAGCCAAAGACAATAGTACAATCAGATTGTAACATGTTTGGTGAGTTTAGTTTACGCTCGAAATACTGCAAAAAGATCCTTTGTTTTGGACGTTGCAGACTATTCATTTTAAAAAGGGCTGCCTAACACACTGAGCCATGCGGCAAGCTTGCATGTCAGCACATGAAACTGAGTGCAGTGCGGTGCTCTATATTGCAGTGCAGTGCTCTATATTGCAGTGTGAGCAGGCCCTCATTTATTGGGCCTGAAGTGCAGCTCCTGATAACAGCAAAAGGCCACAATTTGGGGTTGATTCGATATCCCATTTGCAATGCTTTTTCTGGTGTTGATGCTGCCTTTGAATGTTCTGTGCCAAATTCAGAAAAGTGGTGCGAGGGTTCTAATGCTCCTACTGATATGTGCAACAGATTCATGTAGTTGTCATTAGCGATATTTTACATTATGTTGCAATGGCAGTGAGAAATAACGCCTTTACGGCAATAAGAAGACTGGCAGCAAATAGAAGCAATATAATTTTGGTGTAATTTGTGAGGAGTTTGGCCCCCACGCTGGTTACTGGAACCATGTCCTATGGTCTGATGAGACCAAGATAAACGTATTTGGTTCAGATGGTGTCAAGCGTGTGTGGCGGCAACCAGGTGAGGAGTACAAAGACAAGCATGGTGGTGGGAGTGTCATGGTCTCGGGCTGCATGAGTGCTGCCGGCACTGGGGAGCTAAAGTTCATTGAGGGAACCATGAATGCCAACATGTATTGTGACATTTTATTTTCGGGGAAACACGGTACATTACATATTTTGCTGAGGAGGCAACTTTGTTGCCCATAGTGACTGTCATGATTTTCTATTTTTAATGCAGATTGTTGACACTTATTCACAGCTTTTCTCTTGTCAAAGCTGAATGTTCTTTGAAACATCTTTATGTCCTTTTTAGCATATTTTTTACTGAAGATTTGATCAGTTTATATTCCTTTCTCCATTAAACTGGTCAGGCAAAGTGCCTAATTTAGATGTAGAGTTTTTTTTCCGTTCAGCCTTTGCAACCAGTCTGTCTATGAACGTTCCCTTTCACAATAACTAGTAGAGCCTCGCTACCAAAAAAGCATTGCTTGATGTTGTCAACATCCAAGGCAATTGAAGCAGAGCATGATCCCCTCCCTTCGGAGACTGGGCCGCAGGGCAGTATTCCAATATGATAACGACCCCAAACACACCTCCAAGACGACCACTGCCTTGCTAAAGAAGCTGAGGGTAAAGGTGATGCACTGGCCAAGCATGTCTCCAGACCTAAACCCTATTGAGCATCTGTGGGGCATCCTCAAACGAAATGTGGAGGAGCGCAAGGTCTCTAGCATCCACCAGCTCCGTGATGTCGTCATAGAGGACTCCAGTGGCAACCTGTGAAGCTCTGGTGAACTCCATGCCCAAGAGGGTTAAGGCAGTGCTGGAAAATAATGGTGTCCACACAAAATATTGACACTTTGGGCCCAATTTGGACATTTTCACTTAGGGGTGTATTAACTTTTGCTGCCAGCAGTTTAGACATTAATGGCTGTGTGTGGAGTTTTTTTGAGGGGACAGCAAATGTACACTGATATACAAGCTGTACACTCACTACTTTACATTATAGCAAAGTGTAATTTCTTCAGTGTCGTCACGTAAAATGATATCATAAAATATTTACAAAAATGTGAGGCGTGTACTCATTTCTGTGAGATACTGTACATTGTAGTGCGCTGGCTAGTTGCCTTGGGGTGCCATTTAAAAGCAATGGCTCCATACCACACCACACTTAGCTTTCGGTGTTATGGTGCTTTATTGCAATGCACATTTAGGGACCCTAAAATAAATCCTTTCTAGTGTAACATAGAAGCTGTCATTGCTGATGTCTCATTCTGCATATATTAGTCACCTATCTGTTATTTTGACACTCTTGCTTCATGGTTTTAGGTTTTGAATCCAGTACTGTCTGTGATACCTCTTTACTTGCACTAACAGTTACAGTTTCAGGACAAGCTTTCGGTGAACAACAGACTAAATTCCCCAGTATCAACACAACCTGTTAGGATCTAGTCTACACTATTGCAACAACAATAGTTCGATGAGAATAACATTGCATTGGTAGTCAGTGAGAAAAATGCCCCTTACATTGGTGATCAATTAGAAAAATTCCCCTTACATTGGTAGTCAATGAGAAGAATGTCCATTGCATTGATGGTCCGTGTGAAGAATGCCCCTTACATTGGCAGTCATTGAGAATAATGCCCCTTACATTATTGGTCAATGAGAAGAATGTCCCCTAGATTGCGGGTCAATAAGAAGCATGCCCCTTACATTAGTGGTCAGTCAGTGAGAAGAATGCCCCTTACATTGGTGTTCAGTGAGAAGAATGCCCCTTAGATTGCTTGTCAATGAGAAGAATGCCCCTTACATTGGTGGTCAATGAGAAGAATACCCCTTATACTGGTCGTCAGTGAGAAGAATGTCCATTACATTGGTGGTCAACGGGAAGAATGCCCCATACATTGGTGGTCAACGGGAAGAATGCTCCTTACATTGGTGGTAAATTAGAAGAATGCCCCTTGCATTGGTGGTCAGTGAGAAAAATGTCCATTGCATTGATGATCAGTGAGAAGAATGCCCATTGCATTGATGGTCTGTGAGAAGAATGCCCCTTACATTGGTGGTCAATGAGAAGAATGCCTCTTACATTGGCAGTCATTGAGAAGAATGCCCCTTACATTGGTGGTCAACGAGAAGAATGCCCCTTACATTGGTGGTCAGTGAGAAGAATATCCATTGCATTGATGGTCAGTGAGAAGAATGCCCATTGCATTGATGATCAGTGAGAAGAATGCCCCCTACATTGGTGGTCAATGAGAAGAATGCCCCTTACATTGGTGGTCAATGAGAAGAATGTCCATTGCATTGATGGTCCGTGAGAAGAATGCCCCTTATATTGGTGATCAATGAGAAGAATGTCCCTTGCATTGGCAGTCATTGAGAAGAATGCCCCTTACATTGGTGGTCAACGGGAAGAATGCCCCTTACATTGGTGGTCAATGAGAAGAATGCCCCTTACATTGGTGGTCAATGAGAAGAATGCCACTTACATTGGTGGTCAATGAGAAGAATGCCCCTTACATTGGTGGTCAACGGGAAGAATGCCCCTTACATTGGTGGTCAATGAGAAGAATGTCCATTGCATTGATGGTCCGTGAGAAGAATGCCCCTTATATTGGTGATCAATGAGAAGAATGCCCCTTGCATTGATGGTCCGTGAGAAGAATGCCCCTTATATTGGTGATCAATAAGAAGAATGCCCCTTACATTGGCAGTCATTGAGAAGAATGCCACTTACATTGGTGGTCAATGAAAAGAATGCCCCTTGCATTGGTGGTCAGTGTGAAGAATGCCCCTTGCATTGGTGGTCAGTGAGAAGAATGTCCATTGCATTGATGGTTAGTGAGAAGAATGCCCGCTACATTGGCAGTCATTGAGAAGAATGCCTCTTACATTGGTGGTCAAAGAGAAGAATGCCCCTTACATTGGTGGTCAATGAGAAGAATGTCCATTGCATTGATGGTTAGTGAGAAGAATGCCCGCTACATTGGCAGTCATTGAGAAGAATGCCCCTTACATTGGTGGTCAATGAGAAGAATGTCCATTGCATTGATGGTCGTGAGAAGAATGCCCCTTATATTGGTGATCAATGAGAAGAATGCACCTTACATTGGCGGTCAGTGAGAAGAATGTCCGTTGCATTGATGGTTAGTGAGAAGAATGCCCCTTACATTGGCAGTCATTGAGAAGAATTGGTGGTCAATGAGAAGAATGCCCCTTGCATCAGTGATCAGTTGGAACAATGTTGCCCCTATGGGCAGCCAGGCCCGGATTCACAAGGCCACCGAGGCCTGACCTCGGGCGGCAGCGGTGTGTTTGTGGGGAAGTTGCCCTCTCTACATTCAGTCCTGCTTTGCACAAGCAGGACT